AGTATTATTATAAAATAGCCTTAAGTAACTAAAGAAACTAAACTGACACGAGGCTATCCTGACATATCGCAAATAAAGTGCATCAAACAGTTTTCGTTTGCATTGATTATTTAAGAAACTTCCTATCAGTGACTTGACCTTTTTTGACAAAAGTATTTTTTTCAATACATCCTGCAAGATAGAAGACGATTATATCGTTTCAGAATTTTCTTTCAGACAAGAAAATTCGTTAGTGTTAACGCGCTTTCGGCTCACAAGATAGTCAATAGTAGTATACATCATAGTAAGTTACTGTTATGTTGTAGTAAAAACTCATACATTTATATATTTCCATGGTCTTGATAAGAGTTGATTACGTAAGTGTAGCGAACGGTAAATTTCTCTTATGCACGAAATTTAAAATACTTTAAGGTCATAGGGTAAAAAATGCCAGTTATAATAATTAAGTGCTATTAGTATAGAATCCCTGTTGATAGAATCCTGTAGATACTATTTACATACACTCAAATGTACATTCTTTTTTCTCATTTTCTACGTTATTACATTATACACAAAAAAATTCTGATCTTATTCACGCGGGGACACCAAAGTTCTAATACATTTTTTGTACATACATTAACTGACGTACATACACCGGAAAACAGAATTTTTTTTAAATGTAAGTGGATGAATTCTTTTTTGTGTAAGACTTTATGGCAAGTTTTTTGATCTCTTAGAGTTTCTATCATAACGTACCATTGAACAAAAAAATTGGTTTTTGGAAAGTTGGCAAGTCAACACAAGAGCAGAAAAAAACAACACAAACCTTTATTTCTAAGTTACTGGTAACCAATCAGAAGTAATTATTGGTTATGAAAATCCTAGGATATAACTACTCAAACGCACACACACATGCAAATAAACACTGGCAGACAGATACTATTACTAAAATACCCGACTTTGATTACATAAATTCAAAAAACTAGTTAAAATCATGTTCTTTGAAAGGGTTATTTTTCACTTCTCTATAAAATAGTACAAAAAGCAATAAAATTTTCGAATATATAATGTTAAGCCCCTAGAGTAAGTAAGGCATGAGGTTACCAACTTTTGCATTGAATAATCGATGTTTTTACAGGAATTATAAACAACCTTTTTTAAAACTACAGTGTCTTTAAATCTTTACATGTGGGCAACGAAAAAAAACATCAAATGCATTATATATGCTTCTATAGGTGCAGGCTTATTACACCCATCTTGTTTTCTATTATAGAGAAAGCATAACCTCATGAGCTATACTGTTTAAAAAATTTGTCAAGTGTATTTATAGTTGACTGCTCGGCATAACATGAATTTTTGTTAATCAAACTCTTTTCTGTTACTGATTAAAAAGATTTATATTTTGTTCAATATTAAGTACTTTATTCTTGAATAGTCAATAATGCCTTACATAGTTTTAGATAGTATAATCAAATGTAAAATTTACTGTACTTTTGTAAAGTACAGACTAATTTTACTCGTTTAAATTTGTTTTCGAAAAATAAAAAAGAAAGTAAAGGGATATATAATTACTATTGGCAATAACATTTTCTACCTTTCACAGTAATAATTTGTGATTGTTCCACTGTTCCGTAATCGTTCTTAGCATGGCATGAATAATTACCAGCATCTTTTTCAAAAAAATATCTTATAACTAATTTTTGATTGCTGTCTTCGAAAGTATACTGTGATGACATCTTCAGAGGTACATTGTTTTTTGACCACGTAATGTTAGGGGTTGGAATCCCTTTAACATGGCAAAATAATATCAGGGGATTCTCAAAATCCCTTGCCATTACTGTTCTCTCTGTAGCGTTCAAATTTACAAGAGTAAAAGAAGGTGGATCTATACAAAAAAATTATCATGAACGGAGTAAAAATAGTTGAGATTTATAAATGAAAATGTACATCATAACTGTTTCTCATTCTTACCATTGATGTTAAGGAAGTATGACTCTGTAAGTATTTTGCGCGAAGGATATCCAACAAACCCGTAGTATCTTTCCGTCGCTTTGCAATAGTACTTCCTTCTATCTGATTCACTCACGTTATTGATCGTGAGAATGGCTTGGTAAGTAAATTCAGTTACCTTCGATGTAACGTGTATTCTCTCTAAACATTTAGAAAAATATGTATAATTGGTTGAACTACACTAAAAAAACTTGACTTATAACTCTTAAAGAATAAATTTAGAACTAACTGGAGCACACTACCACTTGACGATTATCGTCATACCATATGACGATGGAGAAATCATTGATTGTAGCAGAACATATTAAAGAAATATTTTCACCTTTCTGAAAAGTTCTATTTGCTTGTATGATTCCAAAAGATGCATTAGCTACCCCATCTGAAACAAAAAAATATTCATGCAACTTAAACTATTTGTATCCCTATTTGATGTAGTTAATCGGCTTATCGTTCTCTCTTAAATTCTCTTATGCCTGTTTAGTAAGGACAAATGATATATCTTCAAGGAAAAATCCAGAAATACAAAAAAATTTACGAAAAAACCTTTAAAAAAAACTCTTTTCTATGTATAGCAAAGCAAAATAAATAACTAAACGAATTACCGCTCCAAAGTTGGTATTAGTCATCCATCAATAAGAACCACGAAAGTTACTGATTTATCATTCTCTGAAAGTATATTTGGATTGTAAGAGATTAAATTTGGAAATAGTCTGTTGAATGCAATGAAAAAAAATTCATCAGAATATACAGAGTTTAAGGCGCTTTTCCCAAAAAATTAATTTTTATATTTTTGCTTGAAACTATGTTTATTGCTAGATAATGTATTAATACACATTTTCTGAAAATTTGAGCAAAATTGTACTTTTAGTTTTAGCGTACAACAACTTCAAAGTTTGACAAATTCGTATGCATCTGTTTGTCTAACACACGGTGTCTTACGGCAACGGCTGTCGACTCACTGCTCTGTTTTGTAGATTACTCGGAAAGTAAATTATTTGTCTTTGATTAAACACTATTACCACATAGTTGTGAATTCCAAAAATGTTTTAGTCAATTGAATAGAAAATTTGTACATTAACTTCTATTAGTAATTTGAGTTTGAAAGGAGCAAGCAACGAAAATAAGAGGTTACTTTTGTCGCGAAATAATTTGGTGAAACGCAGTTGGCAACATGTATCTTCTGCACCACATTCAAATTAAATTACGCACAGGTATGCAGAATACTTGCACAAAATTTTTTTTCCAATAATAACGAATCAGATAAGGTAAATAATTATTATCATTATGGAACTAATTATAAATTACAGGATTCTTTTTTATATTTGTATGTTTGAATTTATGGTTATTAAACTTACAGTTATTAATCACAGTTATATTGTAATAAATACATAAATTAGACAACTTTTAAGGAGAGAAATGATTAATTAAATTTTGCACAAAAAAAGCATTATTTGTAATACATACTAAACGTCCACATTTTTTCTTGTAAAAATTCTTCAAACAAGCTTTTTCCTGAAGTAACGAATTTTTTACGTAAATGATTATACGTCATTCCTTGTGCGATAATTTTTTTGCAAACGGCGGCATTAGTTGTTTTTTCAATTTATTCTAAGTCTGGCATTTTTGATCTTATGAAGTACTGCTCATTTTTTTAGTTGCAAAATGATCGACGGGGATCAATTTTTTGTCACATCCAATTCATCGATAAAATATTTACATAAGCTTTCCAAGACTTTCACGTCAAACATTGCTTCGTGAAAATTTTCACTGATTTTTAACAAATCTTTTGCAAAATTGCCTAGCTTTAAACTACCTTGACCTTTTCTCTCTGGAAACGCTTTTTTTAATAATAATAAAGGATCATCAAAGCCATGAATAATTGTTTGAAAATAATCTCTTAGGTTTTCCTTTTAAATGACCCTTATCAGTAACGTATGATCAAAGCGACTACCATTATAAGCAATAACAATACACTTTTTTCCTAATTCATGTAAAAAATCACGCCAGCAAATGCTTCAGGTAACAAAATCGTTTCCACTACAACGCCATCATAATAAAGTTTTGGTCCTCTGTTACTTAATTTTATTGCTATAGATGATTCTGTGTCGATATTTTGAGTTGGTATAACATATACAGAAAATTGTACTTCTCCATTTTTATGGCAGCAATTTGAATTATATCACAAGAATCTATATCTAAGGTCGTCGTTTCTAAGTCGTAATATACAAGAACGTAATCACCAATTGCTGTAGTTGTAAAAATTTTGAAATTTTTGCTTTGAACATTAGTGATTGAAAGATACGACTTGTAGCTCGGACCTTTGACATCTTAAGTTCTGACTCGACAACTTTGTCTAATACTGTAATTCAGACTCCTTTTACATTTGCACTCTTTTGTAAATCTTAGTTCTCCCTCCCTCAGTCTTTTTTTATCTGCTAGATCTGAAAACTTGCAGTTATTTTTTTCAGGTGAATGTTGCAAAATATATTTCACTCGTACTACTGATTCATATCCAAAATTAAAATGGATAATTCCGGTACTGACACGTATATCACCCTGTTTACTACGACTACAGTTTTTGTTTTTCGGAAAATGATTCACTATGATGCTGTTCAAGCATTCATTGCGTTGGCTAATAGCTGTTATGAAAAATTTATGAGCATTGGCTGCGTAAATTTCAAAAAGAGTTTTCATATCAATGTACAATTCTTGGCTTTTAAAAGTGACAGCATGGAACTTCTTAAAATTTACCTTGAAAATTCGAGAACTAGCATACCACATACCGCAAGTGATATGTAAACCAAATAAATGATCTGGGATGGAAAGTCATATTGATTTTCATTTCACCGTATTTTTATTATTTTGATAAATAGAAAAATTAAAAAGTTTCTTAACATGTGTGATGACATTTTTTTTCTTAAATTCACTGTGTTTCTTTCCTAACTCATACAATTTCTTGATGAAATTTTTTTTCAGATGATTCCATTCTGCAAATTTAAATATTTTTTTTTTTAATTTCCTATCCTGATATTGTCGATGGCTACAGCGTCCTTATCTCCAATGACGACTCTGACTTCCATTTTGTCATTTTTTAAAGACATACTGTCGTTTACTAACTCAGCGGCTACGTCACCTTCCATCGATTTGGCACTACCTGTATAATTTTTGTGGCAATCGTGATCAGTCGGATCATGGCCATATTCGCACGTTGTGCATTTGCTGTTTCGAGTGCGAAAATCCAACACTTTGCCCGATAACAAACAAATAACTGCCCCGTACCCATTTAAAGAGTCATAACATTTGCCGGTGCTTCTCCTACTCTAGCCCATGTCTTAAGATACTATAATATTTACTACGTCAAGGACGTGAGCATCGAATCCGGTGATACTACCTTTTTTTTCTTCTTCAATGGCAGCCATCATCTCCGGATATATTTCCTTTGTCACTTCTTTTGGACTGTAAAAGGAAAAGGAAAGTAGGCTGCTGTAAAGTGTCATGCAATAAATTAAGTTCTTTTCTCTATTAGACATGTTACGTTATGTACATCTTTATTTGCATACTTATTTGTACTGTATCTTTATTTGCACAGTTAAGTATAAAATAAAAGTATACAATACAGTAAGTGTTTAAATAAAAATAATATACTATAAAGCTTACAAAAAATACTAGTTACAATAATACTACTTTTTCCTCTACCTCAATTTGAAAAAAGAAAATTGAAGTAGGTATTAAAAAATTCTGTCAACATTAAGCAAAATCAACAAGAATCTTACACGATCTAAAACTCACAATTCCATTCAAAAGTCCATAATATTTCCAATAACCAACCGGCGTTCTTCTTGTCTTGCTTTAGCACAACTTTCTTCGGCAACTTTGTTATTGCAGCTCCAACAGAAGTCAAATTTTGCGTACAACTTGTGGTCGATTGAAGGCATATTTAAACATGCTAAAAGCCGATTCGACTCTCTGCAGCCAATTTTTGCCTCTATGCTACCTATATTATTGAAAATATTAAAATTATGTCAATCATTTAGTGACAAATATGACTTTTTTATTACCAAGAACCAAAATCTCGATGTTGACACTTAGATTCACATTTTACTCTGATTGTCGGGGTTGAATCACCTCTGCTGGGACTTGGTGTTCTTTGACAGATTTGACAATTGTTACAGCACAACATTTTAAGCACTTGGTTTCAAAAGTGGACAATACACCATGCTGTTTCTCCTAGACAATATTTTCCAAAAAAATTCGTTCGCTACAATGTGAACAGAACAGACTTCTGGCGAAAATGTTTACATCTACGATCCAACGTCCTTCGAATGAAACTTTTTCCTCTGGGAGGCTCATACTTTTTCTCCTTAGTCTCCATTGCCTTAATGTTTTTGGGACGTATACTCTTTTTTCCTCGAATGATATTGTCTTATTTTTCTTTACAAACAAGTTTCCTCCGTTTACACGCAACTGGTTTTTGGACCAATGATCCATTTGTAATTATTTATTTACATCAAAGAATAAAGATTATGGAAGGTTACGTCGTGTACAATCAGCTGACGAACTATTATATACACAGATGTACTGTTACTCTCATTCCGCGAAATAAGTACATAATTGACAACTTTGCCCACTGAATGATTTGCTAACTTATTTACTGACATGGTAACGCATAGACAATTAACGCTAGATGGTGTACCTCCCGAGAGAGAAGGGCCTCAATTTATTATGCTATGCTGATACAAAGAAAATAATAATAATAATAAGAAACTAAAATAAATTATACGAAACAACACATGTATTAAAACTGTATCATTTGGTTTAAAAAGTTTGATTACTATGGAACTCTTTAAAAAACATAAAATTTTTATAAGATAATCATATTTTTTTTCTAAATAAACATACTTGCTATTTGCTTTTAAAATTCAAGTCGTTATGTGGTCAAATATTTTTAATATTAGTTACAGTAATACCATCGAACACGTTTACATAAGATGGACTTGCGATTTCGGGTAAAGTGTTAACGTAGTTATGCTGGCTCGGTCGAATTATTATATCGTCTGATGGAGATGAAGTGAGGTTTTCTTTTTTTTTTTCTAACTGTCGTTCCCTATTACAATTTTCATACGTATGATAGAGTTTTAGAAAACGTATTTTGATATCATCTTGTAAAAGATTTTTAATACTTTCAACCAGCATTGTAAAAGACGGCCTTAATGTCGGCTCTTCCTCCCAGCAATGGAGCATTATATCGTAACTANTTTAGAAAACGTATTTTGATATCATCTTGTAAAAGATTTTTAATACTTTCAACCAGCATTGTAAAAGACGGCCTTAATGTCGGCTCTTCCTCCCAGCAATGGAGCATTATATCGTAACTAAAAAAAGGTAAGCAATGTAGTGACAGTTTTATGGAAATGGACTTTTCACAAAAACATTTATTTACATGTCATCAGTAGCATAAGTAGGCTGAGCCATTCTGTATCCCCTGACTAATTTCTGATACATTACTTCGAACCGTACACCTGCGTAAGGTATTTCTGCAAGGGTGAAAAGTTCCCACAGAACTACACCAAATGACCACACATCTGACATAGTGGAAAAGACTCCATCCCTAATGGACTCAATGGCCATCCACTTTACAGGCAACTTGCCAACGCATCGCTTCTTATAGTTTTCGTCTTTGTACAATGTCTTTGCCAGACCAAAATCGCATATCTTAATAATGTTATTTTCTGCCAATAATATATTCCTTGTGGCTAAGTCACAATGTAGTACCTAAAAATAAGACAAGTAGCAAACACCTAGAGTTAGTTAATATGTTAGAATCCAGTAACATGAATAATTGTATACAGATAGGTGCTTGCCTTTTTTTGGGAAAGGTACTCCATACCATTTGCTACTTGATAAGCCCACAAAAAAAGATCCTCAGTGCAGAGAAACGAAACATCTTCATTCGCGTAGTCCCCTTTGTAATTAGAACGCCAACCTGGCTGGGAATCATCGTCATCAAAATCATCACTAAATTCCATTGGTCCAACAAATGTCCGATCCTCTGAGCCGTAAATGCTGGTTTTATTGCTTGGACTACTGCTGCTCGACACCATACTGAAATCACTAAAGATCTTGTATTTGTCATATTGTAAAAAAAAATAAAACTTATGTGTTATGGCTATGAGAGTTACAATTTGTTAGGATACAATAAAATTTCAATTATTTTTGATTTAGTAGAAGTGTTTTTTTTTGTAGACGTAAAAACTTAATTCTTTCTGTACAAACTCTTTAGCGAAATTACAACGAGCTTTATCGATAAAAATCTGAATTGACAAACGGTAACATTAATTGAAACTTAGACCTAAATCAGTATTTAGACTCAAAATACTCGAATAAGTATTCAAGATAAGTATTAATTAACGCACGTAAGTCCTCAAAACCAATGATCCTACTAATAATCTATTTCACAAACTATGCTTTCATCAACAGTTTTAACTCTTTCAAGTAGTACATCTGTGATTGTGATTCCGAATTAAGTCGTACATTTAAAGAAATAACAATCTTAAGATGGAAAACAGTTTTCTTAAATCCAAAATGTTTGTCGTATTGAAAACAACGTTTTTGAATTTCAATTCCATCGCTACTTGATCCTAGTATACTACTTGAAGACATTTTCCTTAATTTAATTATATAATTTATTCAAATCGTTGTATACAAAATTCAAGATTAATAGCAATGCCTTATGGCTGATAATTTAAAGACATAAAGTATAATGATAACGCTATGGATGAAAACTTTTTTAAGTTCTTTGCTCTATTTTTCTCTACATGCAAGCGATACTAATCAAACTCAGGCTTGCCCTCCATAACTTGCTCTGACACGTGATTATATTTATTTAGTTCTTTTACTATGAGATTTTAAAAGAGATGCAAAGTAATAACACAAGAACTTTTGCATATTTTCATAAAATTTTTCTATCTTTATCAATTGTATCTTTAATTTTTTTTCAAAACTATGATAAAAATCAATGCTTTTTGTATTTTATATTGAAAAAATTAGTTTGAATTAACGTATCGATTGAAAAATACAAGTTTTTCCTTTGTACTTGGTCTACTTAACGTATAATTGCTTGAGAATTAAAAAAAGGACAATCAATAAAATTATTACCTATTTGATATTTTTCTAATACAAAAGCCGATTTCACCTTCATCTGATTCAATTTGATTAATAAAAGTTTTTCGATGATACAAGAGATAATTTTGCAGATTTCCAAATTTGCAAAGCTCAACAATCACCAAAAGTTCACCTGAAATGTAAAATAATTTTGTATAATAAATACACTTTCTTTCATATGTGATTGATCATAGTATTACGTAAATGCTTACGTTTGGCTATATTTTTTGTACAAGCTCCCAAAAGACTTGTAATATTCAAATGTTGTCCCAAATAAATCATAATTTTAAGCTCCTTCGCCAATGCAGTAATATACATTGGATCTGCATTTTTGCGAACTGTTTTTACAGCTACAGTTGTCTTAGATTCTTTAGCAAATATTCCATAAGCTACGGCCTTATACACGACTCCAAAAGCTCCACTTCCTAATTTTTTATCTTGATGTTAAAGAGGTACATATTAAACGTTAATATTAATTAAGTTAATCGTATATTTCTTTAAACACATTTATAATCTCTTACCTAATTTTATTTTCTCTCTGGGAAACTCCCATCTTATATCGTACGGAAGGAGTTCTGCCTGCTCATCTACTGTAAGTTCTGGATTCATCAAATCAAGTTCCCCTTCCGTAAACTGGGTAAGACTAGATTCTAATAAAAGTTTTTCTCTAAACTGGAAAAGATTATTTACTTAAAATGTAATGCACCTATATTATTAAGTTTATTGATATGATATGTACGTGTGTTGATAATAATCAAATTTTTTTATTTACCTTTCCATGTTGTACTTGTAAGTAAAAGTAAATTGATAGAAAAGTAAGGATTGCGATGAACCATACTACTATTCCAGTATAAAAATTAGTATTTGGATTTCCTACAACGAAAATTGATTGCTTTTATCAAAGAACTTTTTCCTGCTTTCAACATTAAATTCGGTCCATGCAATCAAATCGTTCATACTCAAATTTTCGAGGATAAATCATCATAACACAATCAGAATCCAGCTTTATACGTTAAAATAAATATTTTTTTTTTTAGTGTGATCTTAAATTCTGAAGTTATATAGTTTGAAAAACAAAGAATGAGATGTTTAATCTTTTACCGCAATATTTAAAATAATAACTTGTATCTTCTAGAAAAAATTTATACATTAACAAGTTATACAAGTACTATTGTAAAATAGCCTTAAGCTACTAAAGAAAATAAACTGCCATGAGGCTATCCTAAACATATCTCAAATGAAGTGCATCAAGCAGTTTTCGTTTGCATTGATTATTTAAGAAATTCCCTGTCGATGGCTTGACCTTAAAATAAAAAAATTTGTTTGTGTTAGCGCGTCTTCGGCTCACAGGACAGTCGATAGTATATACATATAGTATACGTCATAGTAAATTACTGATATAATGAAACAAAAACTCATACATTTATATAATTTTCATGATCTTGATAAGAGTTAATTATGTAAGTGTAGCGATCGGAAAATTTTACTTATGCATGAAATTTTAAATACTTTAAGGTCGTAGGGTAAAAAAGCCTAATTTTGATAATTGAGTTGCTAGTAATACACAACTCTTGTTGATAGAATCCTATAGATACTATTTACATGCACTGAAATGTACATTCGTTTTTCTCATCTTTTATTCTATAACATTTTACGCAAGAAAATTCTGATCTTATTCTCGTGGAATTACTCACTTACATACATCAACACAAACATCACACACCGGAAAACCGAATTTTCTTTTAAATGCTAGTGAATGAATTATTTTTTGTTTAAGACTTTATGGCAAGCTTTCTAATCTCCATTAATTAGAGTTTCCATTGCAAAAAACCATCAAACAAAAAAATTAATTTTTGGAAAACGGCAAGATAAAAATAAGACCGAAAAGAAATAACACAAAATTTTAATTCTGAGTAGTTGGTATTCAAATAAGAGTAATTAATAAGTGTGATCTACAAACGAACTAAAATAATTTAAGTTAGTCATAACTTATCCATTCAAACCTGAAATTTCTGATGATATAAATACAACCTACATCCAAAACAATCTACATAATTTGTTTTCTCAGTTTAAAAACATTTCTCAACAGAAAGCTGTAACAATAGATTAAATTCTAAATTTTTATTATTAAAATATCCTTCAACAACGATGAAAACTAAGGGTCGTAATATTTCCAAGAAATATCATTCTACAATAATGAAATATTTATATGTAGTAAAAAATAGTAAAATTTAATTTTTTTCATCAAAAACAAGCAAAAACGCATTATTGAAGTTGGATACGGAAATCCTAGGATGTAACTAATTAAACGCATACACACATGCAAACAAATACATGCACGCACATATAAATAGATACTTTTACTGAACTTTGATTATATAAATTCGGAAAACAAGTTTAAATCATGTTTCTTGAGGAAATCTTTGTTTCTTTTTCGTAAAGTTTCTGGTACGAAAAGCAACAGAATATTCGGATACATAATGTGAAGCCCCTAGAGTAAGTAAGGCATGAGTTAACTAATTTTTTGCATTGAATAATCGATACTTCTGCAGGAATTATAATCAACTTTTTTTTAAACCATAGACTCTTCATCTCTTTACGTGTGTGCAACGAAAAAGAACACAAAATGCATTATATATGTTTCTACAATTGAGGCTTATCACACCCACCTCCTTTTCTGTTATAAAACAAAGCATGACCTCATGAGCTTTACTACTTTGAAAAGTTGTCAAATGTATTAATGGTTGACTGCTTGGCATGATTTAAATTTATGTTAATTAAAACTTCTCTGTTAAAACAATTTTTATTTTGCTCCATATTCAGTACTTTATTCTTCAGAACTGAATAATGCCTTACATAGTTTTAGATAGTATAATCAAATGTAAAATTTACTGTACTTTTGTAAAGTACAGACTAACTTTACTCGTTTAATAGTATATTACGTACCAAGGGACTAAAGCAAGCCAGTTCGTGGCTGGTGTAGTGTGCGCCCGAGCGTAGCGAGGGCGCTACAAGCAATAGCCACTCGCTGGCTTGCTTTAGTCTCGCGGTGCGTATACACTTTTATATCACACTCAGTGGAAAGTTCGTTGCATTGAGAGGGAGAGAGATAGAAGGAAAACAAGCCATTCATTGTGTGGTTATAGGTTATATCACAAGAGTTTTTATAATTGTTTCCGATTGTGATATTTAGGACATTCCTGTATTTTTGTATAAAATATGGCAACAGTTTCGACAGTCATGTTCGAAGAGGATTCTTCTGACGAAGAAAACTTTAACGAGGATAAAGTAGGGGAAGGAAGAGACTTTGACTGTCAACGAAATGCCATTGTTCAAAATTTACTTCCCATAAAATCGAGAGCATTATATGAATATGCATACGCTCGATTCTTACAATGGAAGCATAAGAACAAGGACCTAATTATTTAACTCTTTTAATAAATGTGTTTCGAAATGTAATAATTTTGATAGTTTATTATACAAGATTGATAAAAATGAAGAACTGTAAAAATGCAGTTATTATTTAAAAATGTGTGAACAAAGAAAATTGTATAACAATTTTAATTATTTCCATTTGTTCATAATCTCATGTTTTTTTTTGCATAAAATGCACCAGCAAATAGTACATTGGCTTTATCTTGTTGATGTTTCCCAAATTTGTTTGTTTACTGCAGTGTGGCGCCCTCGCTATGTTCGAGCACCGAACTACTTCAGGCACTTATTGGTTTATGTATATAGTAATATACAGTAAGATATTGATACGCATGCGTACACGCACTTATTACACAGTTTCTGTCCCTGTATACAGGGAGAACAGTACGAACTTTACGCTTAGTGTGATATAAATTTGTTTTCGAAATATAAAAAAGAAAGTAAAGGGATATATAATTACTATTGGCAATAACATTTTCTACCTTTCACAGTAATAATTTGTGATTGTTCCACTGTTCCGTAATCGTTCTTAGCATGGCATGAATAATTACCAGCATCTTTTTCAAAAAAATATCTTATAACTAATTTTTGATTGCTGTCTTCGAAAGTATACTGTGATGACATCTTCAGAGGTACATTGTTTTTTGACCACGTAATGTTAGGGGTTGGAATCCCTTTAACATGGCAAAATAATATCAGGGGATTCTCAAAATCCCTTGCCATTACTGTTCTCTCTGTAGCGTTCAAATTTACAAGAGTAAAAGAAGGTGGATCTATACAAAAAAATTATCATGAACGGAGTAAAAATAGTTGAGATTTATAAATGAAAATGTACATCATAACTGTTTCTCATTCTTACCATTGATGTTAAGGAAGTATGACTCTGTAAGTATTTTGCGCGAAGGATATCCAACAAACCCGTAGTATCTTTCCGTCGCTTTGCAATAGTACTTCCTTCTATCTGATTCACTCACGTTATTGATCGTGAGAATGGCTTGGTAAGTAAATTCAGTTACCTTCGATGTAACGTGTATTCTTTCTAAACATTTAGAAAAATATGTATGATTGGTCAAACTATACTGAAAATTTTCATCCACGACACTTAAAAAATAAATCTAAAACTGACCGAAAGTATCTACCACCTGATCGTTATCATCATACCATACGACGGTAAAGAAATAATGACTCACACCAGCACATATTAAAGAAATATTGTCACCTTTATGAAAACTTCTATATGGTTGTATGATTCCAAAATATGGTTTATTTACTTCATCTGAAAAAAAATTATCCACGCAATAGTAACTTACGACAAAAATAAAAATTTTACAAAAATTAAAGTTAAACACTATTATTTAGATTTATGTACCTGCTATGCGAATTTCCTTTGACGTAGAGGCACATCCATAGCTATTGCAAGCCTTGCATTTTATTACACCAGATGTTACTAGCTGTTTTAGTTCTACCGTTGACTTTTGTTTGAAATTGCCATTTGGCTCATCTGTTTCTATTCCCTGGAAGAATAAGTCAATATTCAGAAAATGTTATTTCTATAGTTACTGTTGTTGAAACAGCCAAACTATTCAAATATATGTGGTGAGGACAGGGTATGCCGGGAGATGTTAAGAAAGAACAATAGGCTATATTTAAGGAAATATATATTCTTTACATTTATATAACTTAGGCTTAACAATGTTAGTTAGCAATAAGCCAACACTCAGCTCTCGAATCACACACGACGAGCACACCACGCTGTTGCGTACAGTTATAGGTTATTCACGTGAACACGCGACGTTATGATTATACACTGGACGCAAAACTCGAAAGCAGCACACACGCTAAAAAGGTACACGCACACTCCGGAGTAGTACACGATTGATACAATGATCGTGGGCGCGTTACACATACGCAGAAGCGGATACCCAAGAAGGCAACGCACCAAACCACGCTGATACGTTGACGCGAATCATGAAGCTATCGAGGTGGAACAAATTCGCAAACGCGCTCACGCTTTGATACAATTGGCCATACGGCGACAAATACCTGCGGCGTCGAGGGTTGACGGCTCCGAGAAAGATCTCCGCAGGGGAACGGCAGAAATCGACCAGAGAACAGCTCAGCTGTCGACCAGAGAAAAGCTCCCAGTGAGGGTGGACGAGAACAGCCCGTTTTGGCAGATGGAGATCAGCCCCAGGTTAGCAGCAGTGCAGTGGGTGTATGCAGATGGAGTTCAGCTCCAGGGTTAGCAGCAATGCAGTGGGTCCCTTTCGCTCAGGTTAGAGGACAGCTCAGTGAACAGCGGGAGAGACGTATCCAGGGCTAGAGTAGTATAGCAACTGCCGCTTTTCGGTAGACGCGCGCCGTTTCTTGCTTCTCCTTTCTTCTACCACTCTCTCTGTCTCTCTCTCTCCTACTTTCCTCGCATTACAACTCACTCCCCACCCTTTTCTTAAACCTACTAGCCAACGCTGAACATGCCTCCCGCCTATTCACCTAGGGTGAATATTTGCTTACTAAGTGGTGTGGGTCGTAGGAATTGCCTCTGTCTCTAACAGAAGGGGGCAAACTCGAGAGACGTGTCGACGAAGGGTTCCGGTAGCGGTTTTGACTGTAACTACCCGTACCAGAGCGTCAGGTCCTGGGTGGGTGGCGATTACACGGGCTAATGGCCATTTTGCAGGAGGGTAACGTTCATCTCTCACAAGGACCATACTGCCAACTGCCAGGCTAGTCGTAGGGGAGCGCCACTTATTGCGTTCCTGCAACTGTTGGAGATACTCCTCAGACCAGCGTTTCCAAAAGTCGGTTTTCAGCCTTTGAAGAAGTTGGAAACGGTTAAGACGAGCAAGTGGTACATCCGGGTGCTCTTCGCCTGGGATCAGAAAGGAAGATTCCCCTATCAAAAGTGAGCTGGGGTGAGAGCCTGCAGATCGTTCGCGTCTTCAGCGAGTGGAGTCAAGGGACGAGAATTGAGGCAAGCCTCAATCTCTGTTAACAAGGTGTACAATTCCTCGTAAGTGAGAGCGTGTTCCCCAATTGTTCGTTTTAGATGATGCTTGGTGGACTTCACGCCCGCTTCCCAAAGTCCTCCGCAGTGGGGCGAGCTTGGTGGGATAAAAGACCAAGTGGTACCGTCGTTAACTAGTACAGCGGCCGCTCTCTGATAAAAGATAGAAGCTCGATGGAACATATCCTTTAGTTCATGGTCAGATCCATGAAAGGTGGTAGCGTTGTCGCTGAATAACCGTTTGCAGGGCCCGCGACGGCTGACAAACCGACGGAAGGCTGCGATAAATGCAGCAGAAGTGAGGTCGCTCACAAGCTTAAGATGGATAGCTCGAGTAGTAAAGCAAACAAAGAGTACTATGTACCCCTTGCTCGTACAGTTTCCTCGAATTTTCCTGGGTCTAACAGAGATGGGTCCTGCATAATCTAGTCCTGCCTTCAGAAAGGGGCGAGCGACAGTTACTCGGTCTGAAGGTAAATCCCCCATCATCTGATGAATCAGCTTAGGCTTCACCTTTTGACACGGGACACATTGACGTACTAAAGTCTTGACTATCTTGTTTCGGCCCGTGATCCATACCCATCGTGAAACAGTCGCTGATGTCAGAAGGGTCCACCGTGGAGGCAAAGGAAATGAGCTCGCCGGACAAACAGGCGACTTAGAGCTGAACAGCCCGAGAGGATGGGGGGGGGGGTGTTTGCGATCAATTGACAGGGTTGTCTTGGACAGACGCCCCCCAACTCGAAGGATTCCGGTTTCCGGATCAAAGATCGGATTGAGCTTGTTCAAAAAATGATGCTTCGGCAACGGCTTCTGTTGTGACAGGTTGCCCAATTCTGTCGCAAAATCGTGTGATTGCGACAACCGGATAGCGACGTGGTGGGCTTGAGACAACTCGAATGCCGATAGAAAAGGGGCCAGGGGGGGGGGTAAACCTGACCGTTTTGCTCGGAGAACTCGAAGAGGACGTAGACAGTACGCGATAACTCGCTCCAGCTTGGACAGAGAAGAGAACCGAGTGAGCAATTATGGCTCTTTTGGGGTCGAAATAGTGGTGAAAACTCGAACCCTTTGAGCTTGTACCGGCCAACGAGGGGGATCCTGGAGCAGCCAGGACGGTCCATACCACCACAGCCGGGAGCCGATCAGGCTCGAGGGTGTGCAACCCTGCGAGGCGAGATCAGCCGGATTTTCACTGGAGGGTACGTGAGACCAAGTAGCGGTAGGCAGTTTGGTTTGAATGAATGCCACGCGGTTAGCCACGAACGTTTTCAACTGCCGAGGGTGTTTGTTAAGCCAATCGAGGACGATCTGGCTATCGGTCCAAGCAAATACTGGTAATGGACGAAAGAAGTCAGAATTTCGAATATGACGGATTAACTTGACCAGAAGAGCGGCGGCGCACAACTCGAGGTTAGGTATGCTTAGGGTCTTGACTGGAGCTACCTTGGTCTTTGATATAAGCAAATTACTGTGGTGTCCGCCTGCCTTTGTTGTAACCTTGAGGTACAGATCTGCCGCCATGCCCTGTTTAGACGAGCCGGAAAACCCGTTGAGTTCGTATTTCTGATCAGTGCTTGTCCCAATCCAACGGGGAATGGTTAGCTCGTTTAGGTTGGGGAGGGACTCACAGTAGGAAATCCATTGTTTACGCATCTCAACGGGGATGGGTTCGTCCCAACCACAACGCAATATCCACAGATCTTGCATCAAGAACTTGGCTTTGACCACTACGGGTGAGACCCAGCCGAAAGGGTCATACAGTCAAGCGATTCGAGAAAGAACCATACGTTTGGTGACGTTCCCTTTAAGATCCTCAGGTGGGGTAACTTGGAACGTGAACTCGTCTTTCGAGGGGTTCCATTGAAGTCCCAATATCTTAACTACTCCATCTTCACCGACACCCTTTATGTAGCCGTTTGGCCCTTCACATTTACTCGTAGGAATAAGGTCAGGATGATTAGCGGACCACTTGTCCAACGTCATCCCAGCGGTGGCGAGAATAGATATGAGTTCCTTCCTCTTGTGCAAAGCTCCACTGAGAGTGTCATCCCCAACGAACATATCATCCACGTAGGTCCCTTCCTCAATGATTTGAGCTCCTTGGGGGAACTTATGACGTTCGTCGGTAGCTAGTTGCCTGAGTGTGCGGATTGCTAAGAAGGGAGCGCAGTTCGTACCGTAAGTCACGGTAGTTAAGCGATAATCCACGGGAGGAACATCTGGGGAGGGAGCCCATAGAATTCTTTGATAGTCTTGATGAGCCGGCTCCATCCGTATTTGCCTGAACATCCTCACGATGTCCACTGTAAAAGCGTAGCGAGGTCTACGCCAATTAAGCTATACGAGCGGCAGCTCAGCTTGAAGGGGAGGACCGGAATGCAGGTAATCATTCAGTGAATGGCTTCGTGTTTTCCTGGATCCATCGAAAACGACTCTAACCTTTCGTTTATGGGGGGGACCGGTGACGACGGCATGATGAGGCAGGTACCAGGCTGTTGGATTATTGACCGCGGCCGGAGGCACCTTAGCCATGTGTCCTTGAGCTTCGTAACAGGTTAAGAATTCGTGGTACTGATCACGGAGCCAGGAATCTTGGGTAAGGCGCCTATGTAAACTGGTCAGTGTCGCTAGAGCCGTCTGCCTTGTTTCTCGGCCCAGGGGGGGTATGCCCTCCTTGAGAGGCAATTGGACCATGTAGCGGCCATCCCGGTCACGGCTATGCGTCGTTTGATACTGCCATTCACAGTATTCTGAATTCGGATCGGCTAAGGAAGAACTGGTCGCGACCTCATCTACGGTCCAAAACCTTTGGATGAGATGCTGAGGTGATCCTCATACGTAGTGTGCAGAACGTGTATGGATTGAGGGCCTGGATTAACCGCCCGCCTTGGCAAGCTTTCAGATATGATTCCAGACACTATCCATCCTAGGGTGGTGTTTTGAGCAATCAGGTTTGTGTTAGGGAACCTCTTCAACCCTGATTTAAGGAGCTTGCCATAAACGTCCGCCCCAAGGATAACATCTACTGATCCTCCCTTCCAAAATTCTGGATCCGCTAACTCGAGCTTCCTTATAGATGACGGTTGAAGAATCGGCGAGCTCCGATCTGAGAGGTGAGAAGTCAAACGGGGTAGCACAAGGGCGCTAAATTCAAGGGAGAGTTGAGTGGACCTTAGTGAACGTAGTCGGAGTGTCACTATTGCCTTAGAGACTCCGGAATGAGACGCTCCGATTCCTTCAAGGGTAATTTGAATGGGTATCTTCGGTAATCTCAACAATTGCACCATGGATTCGGTAACGAAAGAACTTTCGGATCCTTGATCTAGTAAGGCTCTAGCCTTGATTATCGTGCCCGAGGGTCCAAGTATCTCGATCTGAGCTGTAGCAAGAATCACTGACGAGATGGGCAAGCAAGGGGCCGAGTGGTAGGACTTGACATTGAATCCTGAATCCGAACCTTTAGGAGGTGGTAAATTGGATCCTGAAACGTTGCGCTGATCAAGCGATTTAGGCTTCTCAAGATGCAGCAGAGTATGGTGGGTGTCCTTACAGGTAAGGCAGCGAACAATTGATTTGCAGGCGTCAAACCGATGGTTTCCTAAGCAGTTGAAACATAAGCTGAAACGGCGGGCTTCATTTTTCCTTTCAAAAGGTGTCAAGGCCTTGAACTGTGGGCATTTCCAAATTGGATGCACACCATTGCAGAGGGGACAAGCTGGGGAGTTTAAGCTTCTCAATTGCTTAGCTAAATGCGCCTTGCGTATAGGGCCAGTGTTTGAAGCACCCTGGTTGTTATTCAGAGCAGGGTTAGATGCGGTCACCCTGGAACCTAATCCCAGCATACTTAATCCTTGCACTCGATTTTCTATAAATTCTATAAATTTAGCGAAAGTAGGGAAACGGTCCAGAGCGTTTAATTCAGTCGAACTAACGCTGGCGCGGGCTACCGCAGAACGGTCAGTGGCACTCATGTCGAGTTCCCAGGCCTTCCTTGAAATGGTGTCCAAACGCCCAGACAAAAGGTGGATCAGCCACACGTTCCAGTGCTGGACCGGCATTTTGAGGATCTCCAAAGCCCGGACTATGCGTTGTGCTTCGTCACTAAAAGTCCTTAAGTCCTTGGCAGACTCACGAGTCAAGTGGGGAAGAGCATAAAGTGCATTTAGTAAGTTATTGATGGTCAACCGAGGATTGCAGAAACGCTCTCGCAAGGTCTTCCAAGTGGAAGTGTAGTTTTCTCCCTTCAGAGCTACATCCTTGACTAAATTAGAGGCTACCCCGGTGAGGCATGATTTTAAGTATTGTAATTTATTTACATCTGGAATCGACCCAACCTCGTGAACTAAGGATTCGAACAGTCCAGAGAAACTCTCCCAATCTTCATAATTACCTGAGAAGGTAGGGAGCACTAATTTAGGTAAGTGGGCCAATTGGTGGTCAATGTTGACGGAACCGTTCGCAGATCTCCGCAGGGGATCGGCAGGAATCGACCAGAGAACAGCTCAGCTGTCGACCAGAGAAAAGCTCCCAGTGAGGGTGGACGAGAACAGCCCGTCTAGGCAGATGGAGATCAGCCCCAGGTTAGCAGCAGTGCAGTGGGTGTATGCAGATGGAGGTCAGCTCCAGGGTTAGCAGCAATGCAGTCGGTCCCTTTCGCTCAGGTTAGAGGACAGCTCAGTGAACAGCGGGAGAGACGTACCCATGGCTAGAGTAGTATAGCAACTGCCGCTTTTCGGTAGACGCGCGCCGTTTCTCGCTTCTCCTTTCTTCTACCGCTCTCCCTGTTCCCCCTCCTACTTTCCTCGCATCACAACTCACTCCCCACCCTTTTCTTAAACCTACTAGCCAACGCTGAACAGTTACATTCATACAATAATCTAAACGTACGAATGCAGATAAACAAATTATTTTTTGTAGTAACTAACAAACCTGTAAGTTATGTTCTGTAAGGTCAAGTGTCAATGTTTTCGTCCAATAGTTAATTTTGGTCCAGGATATATTTGACTTAGGATGACGATCGACAAGGCAAACAAACTTGGCAGTTTTATTAAAACTGTAGTGAGATTGAAGGTAAGTTTTGTCAAACTCGACCATTGGCTTACCTGCAAGAAAAAAAAATCGAATGCTTGACATGGAGTTTTATAACAAAAAGCAGCATAAGTATTTAGAACTGCAAGATAATAAAAAAAAAAAACCAAAAAAAATTCACAAAGATTCAACCGCATGTCTACCGACAAATTTAAACTTTTTTACTTTACTGAATACAAACTTGCTTTATGTATAAGCTTTACACTTTAAAAGTAGAGTTGGCCATTTTACAGGTAGGAGTTAGAAACTATAAATGTCATTTTTTAATTTCAGAGAGTTTTATGGTCATAATGGTTACAAAAACAAAACCATTTTATCTAAATTGGTGGATTGAAAGTACAAATTTTGAGCCCAAGCAAGAACATATCGACTAATATTAATTAAATCTACAATATTAAAGCCTAAAAACAAAATAAATTCTATTTGGCACTTTGTTTACTTAAAAGTTGTATAATTGCAGTTTATTATTTTTTTGAATGTCTTATGGATTATTTTTTAATGAACGGGCTACTTAGTTTTGGACGTATGGGCTTGATAAATCTTTTTTGTCTCTTTCTGTAAATGATGCAAAAAAAGCTAGTCTAAATTTAAATTACATTTCTAATGTGAAATACTAACTAATCTACGAAGTCCACTAATCTACAATTAGGAAGTGCCAATTTTTTAAAAATTGTAGAAGTATAGAAGGAATGGTTTCTTATCTGTGAGCTCAGTATTTAAATACCATTATGTTGGTAAAAAAAATCATAGTGTCAAATCTTTATGAAAGACGACGTTTTTTTCCTTGTAATCGGAGCATATGATGTAAAATAAAAAATTATTGACTCCCTAAAACTCAAAACTAATCCTACGATATTATTATTATTCAAGTGCAGCAAGTCTAGAGTTTAAATACCAATTTCACCACTGCCTACAGACTACTTCCATTTTTGATAATATTGAACTAAAAATACTCAAAACTGTATAATAAAACTGTTGAAAAAAATGGTCTCTCTAATCATTTCTAATCTTGTCCGTTCGAAATGTTTATGTCACGCGAGAATCTAACATATTTATGTACCATGAACGTCAAGATAAAATTTCAGTTCCTTTACTATTTTATCATGTTTAGCTGTAAGCGTGAAAAATCCCGTGTCATCTTCATCGATGTTTAATAGAGTCAATCGGCTCATTGTTCCGTAATCGGACATTATTACTTTCCTCAAGTGGGAACGAATTATATAACCTCGAGGGTGAGTCCTAAAATGAAAAAGATTTTTTAATACTAAAAAAAATTAATAAACTTACGTATACCAAATCAATATAAATGAAAATATTACCACTTAAGAGTTGGTATTGGGCATGCATCAACAAGAGCCACAAAAGTCACTGATTTACTATCATCCGAGTGTATATTCAGATTATCAGAAGTAAGATTGATGTATGGTTTGTTAGTATCTACAAAATTAAAATAACAGAGTTTCATTTTTTACGTAGTACTATTTGAAAAAAAAAAATAATAATAACATTAATGACAATATCAATAACAATAATAATGACAATAATAATATAAATAACAGTAATATTTATGAACAAAATAAAATTTATCGATCACTCACCAAACACGCACACGTGAGTATCAAGACTCTCTTTTTCATCAAACGAAGATCTTATTTTACAAGTGTAGTTACCTCTATCATCGTGAGTTACATTGTCAATAATAAGCTCAGACGTTACGAGATTGACTAAATTACGAATTCCTTTTTCTTCTACTCGAATGGTATTTGAAACTTTTCTAGAAGTCTTATAAGCACACGTTTTTCATTAATTGAACATCACATTAAAAATATCTAACTATTCATATTTTAAGACATAAAACAAAAACTGAATATTTAATTTTAGCTGTGTTCAATTTACCACGTTATGTGGAATCTCCCAGAAGATAGTGTAAAAGGATTCTCTTCTTATTTCAACTGTGCATGTAAGATTCAATCTCGAACCTGTTGATACAGCTTTTTCACCGCCTATTCTTAAGATACTCATACATGGAGAGAAGGAAGTACTCTGAACTTTTATTCTTATTGCATGTGAAAAGTTTTTACTTTCAACAGTACAAGTATTATATATAATGCCTATACCCCAATTTGATTCTTTAATGACAAAACCAATTTTTGAGTCAAAAGTGATCGTTTCGCTCAGTCCAAAAACCTAAGAAAATTAAAAATATTGGAAAGTTTGCGTCGTTTTCTATATAAGTTTTTATCGAGCATGAAGTATGTTTTACATGTCCATTTCTTCGAAGAGTCACTTTAAATTCAGGGGATGTTGTCTGGCATGGTAAGATAATGTGATTAGAACATCCCGAAGCCAGTAAATAATAATTATCATCCTTATTTATATGTACAAATAAACTTCTATTGGCTGCGCATAGAAATAAACCATTTTTCAAAAAGCCTTATTTTTAATATTGTTTAAGTTTTTAAATAAAATTTAGTTTATAAAAAGATAAATCCAAAATACGCAATACTCTTACATTTTACATAAACGTACACCCAACTGATACTTAAATCACTGTAGTTTTTGTACGTCATACTTGTTATTTGTTTGCTTTCATCAGCACATCCATACCAGCCAGTGTCTCCAAAAACGGATGATAATCTTATAAATGTCTTGTGGGTACTCCTGACTTCTGGTGTAATAAGGGGCTGTGAGGTGGTCTTTTTTTTTAAATTCAAAAATTAGTGGTTGTTATTTTTTTTGAAGTATTTTTTTGTACAACCCTTCAAACATGCAATGGTAAAGTCATTCAACTTACCCTACCCCTTTTATCACTTGTAGGGAAATAAAAATTAACATAGCTATTGCTTGTGCACGTAATGTTTAGAGGTTCTCCTTCATTTATTTCTAACTCAGTCACATTTGGGTTCAGTTGAGGCTTAAATCCATGGCAGCCTTAAAATTTCGAATTTATATCCATGATTAAAAAGTAAGAAATCTTGTCTCGATTTGCCTCTATGAGAAAACTTACATACTATTAAGTAAAACATAAAAATTATAATAGTGAAACAGTCCTAGATTAAGGGAGAAGGAGGCTAATAGGTATGTTTGTAGCACTCAGCCTCCAAAAATAGTAAAATTAATTATTCTCATGCAAACTAAGCTTTTAGCGGTACTGCCTTACCAGAGAGTTTCATTTTTTTGTAGAACAGTAAGAGTAACTTCTTATTCATCGGCTATTCAAAGTATGGGAATAAATTCTTAACCATTTAATAACTCCAATGTAACAAGTTCAATGTAATCTACACCTTTAAGTGTTAGTAAACTAAGTACTATTCTTACAAAATCTTATTATTTAGTATAATAACTGTTGAAATATATTAGTGAATCAATGATGAAAAATGAAATAATAAATACTCTACAACGAATTTTTTCTAATCTTATTATAAGAAATGTTTCGTTTAGGTACAAGTACTGTTTACATGCTTTCTACGATTATTTAAAATAATATTGCTCATGAATGATTCTACACATTTCTAACTTCAAATAGAATAAGTATTCTTATTGTAAAATAGATATATTAATAGAACAAAGTGCATCATTTGTCTAATTTTAAGAACAAAAAATATACTATGGTTAAAGTATCTGAGATTAAATCTTGAATTTAGGATTTTTGATTTTTCTGATAAGGGTGCTTGATAAAAAAAAAAGTGGAAAAACTATACAAAAATACATGTATACCATAAACCTCTTGAATTAATGTTCGCACTCTCTCATTGGAAAAAAACTTTTTTATTCATAACAGTTATTAACAAGATATAATACTATTAGCACTACGTAACGAAATTTTTGATCTCCCAAATTTCGTCCTGTGATTTTCTAAATACAGTCTAATAAATAAAAACTAATAATTAACATAATCAAGCTAATCAGTAAACATAAAAATTTTTTTATGTTGATGAATGACTTAAGAGTGATCAACTACATCACAATTTTATAATAATTTTCATACGAAGTAAAATTCTCAACTGAAATATTTAATTCAGAAGTACATCAGGCCAGTTACTAGTTTTCAAATAAGTTTTATTACATGGCACTATAATGAGTTTTTTTATACGTAAGTTTTAAAAAATTCCGAACAATTAGTAGATTAGGCTTCACAACAGCACAACAAACCAATAATAAAGATAATAGTTTAGTGTGTTTCAACAAAATCTTTTAAATAAATTTTGTCATAGTCTTAAGTCAAAATTATCTTGTTCTGTTTTATATTGTCTTTATTTTGTCTCATAGTTCAAAGAAAAAAAATCAAGTTATACTTACATAATTTTGACGATAGAAAATAATGGTAAAAAGTATTCAGACACAAGAGATGAGTAACTTGGAATAAACATATCCAGTTTAAAAAAATGTAATTATGAAACATTAAAATAATTCAATGATAAGAAAAAACATGAACCAAAACATACTACTCATTTTGACAAATATGGGTTGAAGTTAAAAAAAAAAAAAAAAACCAAGAACTAAAAAGTTAAAAGATTAGTTTTAAAGATGTATAGCATAGCTCAAATAATTACGAATATTTTAATTAAAAAAATTACGACTATGATGAACTTCTAAATTTTGATTCAATATACGTTAAAGATAGTAAGGTAGGAAATCCGTGCTCCTAGTTAATCAAGTAAAAGAAGTGTGTCATTTACCGTATGATGACAGTATTACTGTTGATGACAGTATGCTTTTGAAATAGAAAAATATTACTCAGTAAACTGAGTCTTTTTTTATGCTGACATACCATAATTTAAAAGAACTAAAATAAAGTACAAATTATAAAGATTCGTACAGTATTTTTTATAAAAATAGTTTGATTAGGTACGTATGGATTTAAAGCTTTTACTGCTGTATCACACTACAATCCATGGTAAATAATGTATTTTAAACTCAAATATCTTAAAAACTAGTATCGATACGTTAACTTAAAAAAATTTGTGATGACAAAAAAAATATAATGTATAACATATTTCAAATTCAGGAAAAGTTTATTTGTTAGTAGCGACGGATTTGTGAAAAAATCATCGAGTACCTCCTATTATATTATGAGAGATTTGTAGTAAGATAATCACACTAGCTTTCTCAGTAATTTTAGGTCATTTATCATCTCAAGCAGCTGTAACTATAACATAAGAACATTTTTTTTCAATCACTACTGTTAATGCTTTGTTTTCTGTAGGTTGATAGCTGAAAGTATTTTAAAAGATGACAATTATACTGGTCACATTTAGATTATGTCAGAAAATTGTGTTCTTCTCTATGAACATTACCATTTTATGAACATTTACAGGTAATTGATCACTGCAAAATTATTATATAACAGTATTTGTTCAGTTAGCTAGTAAAATGATATTTTACATGAATATGTTTTAAGTACGAACGTTAGGAATACAAAAAATTATTGTTAATTCAATATTCTTGAAAGTATTATTTTACTGTTGTCTCAAAAACGATATCTGCATATAGTCTTAAAATTAGAAATAAAACAAGACAATATGAAAATAACTCTTGACTCTTCTAAGGCCCTCATGATTTAATAGTAAAATTGTAAATATTTATTAAATGTAAAAACGTATAATCCAAAATAAATAACATTTAAGATAAACATTATTGAGACAAATTTATAAAATTCATGATCTCTCAAATGTTTTTACATTATTTTTTAAATACTCTTATTGTTTGTAAGAATTAAAAAAAACCATTTTTTGTACACACCAGAAGTTAGCCAATCTAATCAAGATAAGCTGTAAATCAAATGACAATTCTTTGTTAATAACAACTTAAATATGAGCAACTACGACATGATGTAATAATTATTTTCGAACGAATGAATGCACTTGATTAAAATATTTAATCAAACAGTATATCTTCTAAATTACTAACTTTTAGTAAGGTTTTTTTTTACAGCATTACAAAAGATTTTTCGAATCATATTACAAATTTGAAAAAAGTCTACATAGCTACTAATAAGATTGTATTGAATTAAACTTAATTTGGATTTAAAAGTAAATGGAGAAGTTAGGTTTTCCATTAACCACGGATCCCTTTAGTTATAATTTTAGCTCTGTTTTAATACGGGCCAATAAAAAATTTACAAAAAACCTTTCCTAACTAATCAAAGTTATCTGATTGCTCAAACATTTGAGGTATCTTCAGAGAGTATCGTAAATTTTTTATACGCTACACTTAGTTGTATAATTTTCTACGTACGTTCTTAAAAAAGAATGTTAGAAAAACATACAAAAACTGTAAGGTTTTTGAAAATGTACTATNAAGGTTTTTAAAAATGTACTATAAGCTTTTGTTAAAAAGGGGCCCTTATTTGTTACCATCGGTCCAAAGAACAACTGCCGCTTTGTGCCCTCGGGCCACACTTTACGCCTTTGTAACCACTTTTGACCTAACGGCAAAAAGTTTTTTGCACCCTCCGGGTCCAGGCACTTCTCTAACTAGGGCCCAAAATGTGCCCACGGGCGCAAAATGGCACTTTGCACCCTCAATGAGAAAAACAAAATATACGACTTGGGCCTAAACATACAATAACCACACCCTTCGAGTGCTCATTTGTTTGTAATTTATGCCCTAGTAACGTAATGTACCATTAAGTTTCTACAAAAAATATAACGAAAAAAGTTTCACTGCGCATAGCTTTACCTACAACTTGATTCGGCAATACTCGCTAGAGCTTCTTTACGTGTACATTAATGCTTATTTTTTTGTTTTCGGTTTATCGTTCTCATCATTAATTTGTGAGTGGAAACAACCTTTGAGACTTTGACCGTTGAGCATACGTATTGTTGTTTTTAATATAAATTTCTTAAATTCACGAATAGGCCAAATAAAACAGAGAACCGTGGCACTCGTGGAGTCAAAGCTCTCTTTTTTTGTATTTCAACACTACCTCGTCAATTATCTAAATTAATCTATCTCCAAGACTATGGTTCGAGAAGAATATATCATAGACTGAGACTAGAAATCTTAGATGGGGCACTGGTATACACCCTACTTTTTGCAGTTACTGTCAACAATATTATTGTGTATGTTAGTTGTATTTTTATTTAAATTGTGCTGATGATACGACTAGAGCGCCAGTTATAAATTAAAAATGTACGTTTTTATGTATACATACCTGAAAGTGCAAAAAAAAAACACAGTAGCTTTGACCACTGAAAAAAAGTCGGCAGATCCTTCCAACCTCGAGTGTTCGACATGATTAACTGTAGGTATGTTCGAGTAGTTGCAATTAAAGTAAATAATTGAGGCTAAAAAAATGTAGACTTTGGCTCAATTATTTTTGAAAGTAAATCGATGCAAGTAATGTCTGAAAAATACACGACGAGTAGATATACCGCTTATTGAAGTAGAGCCTTTGTACCTCGCTACAGTGGTCAAACGTAAAATGGGGAAGCCTTACACTAATTTGACAGAGATAGGAGGTGGCTTCGTCTTGTCACCTGCTACGCACAGGTGTGTGCTCATGATTCGTTAAAGGGCAATCAAACTAATTTCCGCTTTTAATCACATATCTTTGTCTTAATTAAAACTTCTTTTGCAGCCACCCCCTCCTCCGCCAACTGTTTCTAAGCTACACCTTTTGTTACGTAGAATTTAAATAATTGTCTATCTGTACGTGATAGCATCAGTAATGATTTTCGAGTACTTTAGTTTGAATTTTGAATTACCTAACCAATATAATAAAAAAATTAAAGATTCTTGCAGATGGTAAATCTTTTCCTACTATTTAAAATTGACAATGTTCAGGGTTAACATTTAACAACCACAGGTTAGCAGTATTAAAAAAAATTTGAATACTTTCAACTACTTTATTTGAAATCTAATTAAAATTATTAAATCATTTGATACCTCTATCTATGAAAAAGTGTGTACGAGTGTGTCATTGTACAGTTAATTACGAAAATTGGATCTGCATTTTTGCGGATTATTTTTACAACCACTTTTTTATTGATCTTTATAACAATAATCCCATGAGCTTCTACGTTAAAGACAATTCCAAAATTTGCACCTATTCATTGTTTGTATTCAGTTAGATAACTTGGTCGTTTTATATAATTATAGATAAATCAATGCTTATCTCTTTTCTTATCATATTTTTATTTTACTTCCCCTCTGGAAAACTTACATTTTC